AACCGAATGGGCTAATCCAAAAATTCACCGTCTAAAACGAAACGGAATAGCTTTTTATATTCATTAAGACACAGTGTGCTCACTGCGTTGGATTTGGCTGAATACAGATCTCGTGTTTGTGTCACAGCTACCGCAGATTTAATCTCACTTACATCTCCAGCACAATAACAATGATGAATTTCAAATTTTGCCTATCACTCAATGCGAGTGGACGCTCGCGACATGGAAGACAAATGCGAAACATTCAGTTTTTGTCGACAGATAACAGATCGATTTTATATCGCGCATTTTCAAATCACCAGTGGCACGAATTCACCATGATCCGTCCACATGCACGAAAAGGATACACTTGATCCAACGCCACATTGTACCCAGTGAGGTGGTCTCGCCTAGGATATTGATGTACAATTCAGGATCGAGCTGGAAAAAAAGAAACATAAATATCAATCTAATAAAATGGAGGTTTATCACGCTGATGGCAGTGTTCATTGAGATGTTTAGCATATACAGTATACTAGTTGAAAACGTTACTGTTTGATGAGGGATGGTCAAATTATGGCATAACGAGACGAAATTCTTGACCAAAGCAGTTTATCATTCAGGGTGACCATTGAACTGAACTGAACTGAACTGTTGATCTCTGCTTGCACAAGCCGGGACTTGAGCTTTGTTCTACACCTAATCTGATCCTCTTAGGTTATCAAATCACAATTTATGTAAACTAGCAACCCGTTTGTCTTTCCCGCACATTGTTATCATCTGTACGTATACGCATTTATCTGCCATGCCTTTTCAAGCCGTCTTCACATCCAGCACGCTTTTTCTCCCACGTTTCGTCGAACTCTCTTGATCGTCAACTGCACGAATTTGAAAATCGATATGAAATCTGAATGGGGACGCTACGGTGAGAGTGCCTATTGTTCAACTCAACTCAACTCATTTAAACCCAGATCACATCCGTGAGAACTCGAACATCTGATTACTCCGTTAGTTGGCAGATCGTATATCGTTCTGTACCGCCTCACCAACACAATGACAACGATGTATGGCCTTTCTCTTAGGGATGAAAGCTTATCGCAATCATTACTATATAGCGTAATACAATGAAGTGAATTTCACTGATCGCTGCCAATTTCATAATGCATACAAGGTAACTGAGAATGTGTAAGGAGGATAGGGATCGGATCTAACTTTAGGGACGGGGAAAGAAAGTGAACCTCTATGGTCAACACACAGAGTACACAGCCCAGCTGTGCACATATTCTATTACAAGCATTCTGGTCTGATAAGAAGTGACACAAAGGTCGCCACTGCTGTCGGTTTCCTGCCATGACCTGCAGTGTCTTCAATCATCCGATCAAGGAGTCTTTTGAACCCTAACCCGGNAACCCGGAAGACGAGAGACATCTACTCTACCTAATCGCTCTGTGCATTTCTTTATGCCTCCTCGTATCCACATCATCTACTGGCCAATCTGCAACAGTCAGCCACTACAAATATAGCGCGGTGTGGTAGGCGACCGTCAGACATACGCAAAACGGAGCCTATTGATCTGAATTCGATGCGATAGCGAGTTCATGTTTGATGCATTTCCGAATACCGGACGACTTACTTCTAGGTTACTAACTCATTCACTCTATCCCACCTCAGATAGACTACGTAAGCATCAATTATCGAAAACCACTTGGCGACGGATATCTTCCACTCGCAAATTCAAGATCTCACAACTGTAAAACAGAACTGATCGTACCGTGGCGCAGTATAAGCGACTAGCTGCTTTATTCGTAACCCAACAAGTATGAATACCACACCATAAACAGATTGGAATTACCAAGATCGAATGTGTTAGGGTCGGAAATGCACAACATGTGAAATAATGGGTTGCAATTTGATCTGGAGTTTCAGCTTATAAACGGAATGAGGGAAGCACGAATTGAAAAGCTGGGACGCATCGCGAAACAATGTCAATCGAGCGCAAATATTTACGGTTTAAGGAGAGAATATGATACTGCGAAAATAAAATGAGTGACCGATTCGGCACTGGTGATATGATGATAAGCCATTTCAAATTGTAGGGAAAGACTGGAAGTCAGTCAGACTGCAACAAAATCTTCACGAATGGATTTGTGTTACTTCGGATACAGAAACAAGCGACAGATTGACTTTCCGGGGTGTGGTAGATGACGAAGCACAAAACGTCTAAGGTGAAGAAAATAGACTTGGATAGGAACGCATTCAAACTGTAATTGCTTCTTCACAATGTGGCAGAAGAGAAATTAGACTAAGAGTTTAATATGACGGGCACGCAAGATCGGCTTGTCTAAGATGAGAAATTGTGAACGTTCATAGATAAAACTGAGATTCTAAACGAGTCATCAAGAGAGATTTATAGGAGAGGTCACTATCCGATCCAATTCACAATGCTCATAAGAAATTATCCACCAGATGGTACTTTTAAAGAGAAACTAAATCTGACCTTTGACTGTTTACAGAGAAGCGGATCTACAAGGCAGCTCGACTGCAGTACGTGTCCCCAGGTTCACCATAATACCTACCGAACAATGGGATTTGCTGGAAATCTTAATCACTATCACGATGACCTGATCATTCAGCCATTTTTGTAATGCATCGATCGCACTGCGAGGTATCTGTCCCAAAGGACAACGGAGCACTGTCCACGGGGGTTC